TATCTCTGTTATTTACTACTTTTAATGGTTAAAACATTTTTGGATATATAATAAATTCAAACTTTACTCATAGTACCAATATGCTTATATATAACAAGAGTCGATAGTATATTTAACTCTAATTTCAAATACTTTCATAATTATTTTGTGACCAATATGTTCATATCTAGATCACCATAATAATGCAAGTCATGAAACATGAATCTAAAGAATCATTGTCATAAAATAATATAAACAACAATTATAATATGAGTTCTACTCATATTTCATGCAAAAATTCATGATGAATTTGCATTGGTTAAATCATTGATTGGCTAACTTTAAGGCTTACAGCTTTCACAAACCAATAGTATTATCTAAGCCCAAATGTTAATATGGCATATAACCAGCCACATCTTTGCCATTTTCATGAAACTGTTGAAAATCTCAGAAACTTGTTCACTTTTCATTTTAACAGTTTGTAAAAGACCAATTTTTCAGGTACAAGAAGCAAGAGTACATTCATTGTCTTTAACTAATAATGTATTAATTGGATGATGGTATTCTATGTCCATAGCTATACATTTCTTATATGTATAAGAAAAAAACCATCCCATTTAGTTCATTTTCGTAATATATGGCAAATTATACCAATGTTCTTCATGCCATCATAAAATAAAATTAAACACATACATTTATTGATGCCTTTGGAACATTGAATTTGTATGTTCTTTTCTAATTTATAAATATGCCTAATTGGACATTGATGGGCATCCTTTAAAATGCTAGTAACTAACAAATGCTTTCAATATTTTTTAATAACATGGCTTTTCGTTTAATCAATATCTCATATGCAAAAAGCAACAATGTTTTTGTAATGATTTATTAACTATTTGACAGCTATTTATGATTTTTTACTTTGTGGTTGTTTACAATAAAATTTTATTTTGTAAAATCACTTTTAGTGTGATACACCTATCAGGTAAAATACATGTCACACTGCTCATGTTTCTGATAATAACAATTATTTGGTTTATTATCCACCAATTAATCCATGAAACATCATATTTTAATAATAATTATTCACATATATCAATTTAATTTTAATTGGTTTTCATGAAGATTGAACACTAGTCAAAATTTGAACCAATAATAAAAAATATATATCAACATTTGATTTATAAACAATCAATAAAGATAGAACCATACAAATAGCTTATCTTATTATCTCAATTTTGGTTTCATGATTTAATAATAAACTAATGTTGTAGCCAAATCTTATTTTTTACATATATTCTCTACTTGCATTTAATTTCTCATGATAAATTCCTTTACCCATTTCTGATTGTTTTCATAAAACCATGAGACAATTTGCTTGTTCTATATATAACCAAGATATGATAATTAAACAATCGACCGTTTCATCAGAACCTAATTTAATTCGTTCCTTAATAATAAGTGATAATTCGTCTGGTCATAAATCAATTCATGTCTTTCTCTTTTATGTTTTCAAGCTTTTTCCCATCTTAATCTTTATAAGTATCGATTTTTTAAATAAATATAATATACTTCATTAAACCCAATTGTAGAGTCAATTTCAGTATATGCATAAACTTATGCAATGTAATTAATATTTTGTATATTGTGTTTTGATTTTACATACTAATAAAATAAATTGGTAACGTGTTTATCTCGTTCAGTCAATCATTTTATCAACAATTATGCAAAAAATAAAATACATACCTCTAATGAAGATCTTTATAAAAAGTAATATTTTGGTCTATAGAAACATTAATCTTTTGACACCTTGAACCTTCTCTAATATTGATTTCCAAATCATGCCAATTTCTTTTCTTTGTATCTTCTTCATGTGAAATATAAATTTTTCATAATTGCCTTTAAATTGTTAGAAAAAATAAATAAGAGGAAAGAAATAATAAAAAGGAATTTTGGCTTTGAGGTATGAAAAATACTTTCTTAAATGCAATTATGCCTTTAAAATATAATAAAGCTCCAAACTCTCCAATCAGAAGTAGTGAAAATAATTATACTGAAAAATTTATTTATAATGAATGAACAGACATAAACTTCTATTGAGATGGTTATGACTTTTTATATAATCGTGATCTTTATAAATAATAATATATTTATATTCAAATAGTTATGATTATTTATCAAATGATAATTATTTCTGCTAAGATATAATTATTTAAAATATGAATAAAATTAATATAAAAATTAATTTTATTTATCAATAATTAAAATTTTTTTATCCAATATAAAATGCACCACATTTTAAACTCCCAACAAATGATCCATCCTAATCATTGTTTGGGTTTCACGGCATATACCATCCAGATTCTTGCAGCGATCAAGATCGAGACATTTGATAGCTACGATTTTGTTTAAAGGAAGGTAGATAGTTCTGTAGACAATAGCAGTGTCGCCATGGCCAATGTCTTCTAAAATCTTGTAATCATTAGGATTCGTTCCCATTCTTCCCATTCTCCCCATTACTGATGAATATGTTGTAAATTTAGATGTCAATTTCAATGCCATAAAAACGACTGAGAAAATCTATATGATTCCCTACTATTTTCAGTCTCCTTTGAATTGTTAGAACCCCAACTGTAAGCCACTTTATATTTTTTTAACTTATGATTACATGAAAGTAAATGAGAATCCCAAGCCATTTGGCAAAGCAGCAAATTCCAGGAAGGAAACAGAGACAGCGTATTCAAAGAAGGGGACAAAGTCCGAATTTAGTATTACAAGAAATTGGCACCGGCTACGACGTGGTCCTAATTCTTTTTTTATATTAAAAAAATATTTTTTTAACGTTTTTTTTTAATAGTTAGTGTCTTGTTTGATGATATTAATATATTATTTAAAAGTTTGGGTTTGAATGTTTTCATTTAAAATATAATAATCAACATATTTTTAAATTTTTTTTAAATTTCATTATTAGAAGAGTTTCAAACAATTATTATGTTGTGTTCTGTATTATTAATTGTTACATTCATCTAACAAATTAAATAAATTTTTTATTTTAATTATTCTAACAAGTTAAATAATTTTTAATTTTAATTAATACAAAAATAAAATTATAATAATAAATTAAATATACCTCACAATATAAAAAAAAAGGAATTAACCAACAAGGAATGGACCCTCGGCTGGTCATTGACTATAAGTTTTATTTGAGGAATGGCAATGTTGGGGTCCTGGGGATAGGGAAAACAACATCATTGAAAAAACGAGAAGTTGCACCAAGTTACAGCAATGAAATTCGAGGTTTCTTGTCTGAATTTTGGACATTAATTAAGATTGTAATTGAATTGAAGTTATCTATGAATATGAAAAGTTTTTAGGAGTGAGCATAAATCGAGTTAATAAATTGAAATAAGTTGAATTTGGTAAAGTGAATTAGATTAATTTGATTTAATAATTATTGATTAAATAATTTAATTTAATCGATTAATTGCTTTGATTTTTTATTTTTAAAATTAATAATTGAATTGAGTAGCTTTTTTAATATACTATTAATATATTATATATAAAGTAAATATATATAACAAATATGACTATAAAAAAGTAACAAATATGACATTAGTGTCAAAATTATAAGATTAATTTTATTTTATGAAAATTATGAAAAATTATTTTTTAAGATTGCTGACAAAAGAATGATGAAAAATTCGATTTTTTTTAACCAAATTGATTAATTTTATATCAGTTAAATTATTTTTGATTGTTAAATGTAAGTCATTCAGATAAATTATTTTTAGCAAAAATTGATTCAATCAATTTTTAATTTTTCAAAATTAAATTGACGAATTGTTCACTCCTAATAACGTGGATCATATGCTACTGAACTACTTCATATATAATTCAAAAAATGTTAATATAGTAAATTTTTTGGACAAAATGTTCATCTAAACCGTTATTTTCTTTTATAGTATTCGATTAAACCCTCAAAAGTTATTATTTTGTTTCATTTAATTTTATTTTGGATGGAAAAAGTTTACGTGGCTAATGGTTTCCTTCACTTGTTTTGTATTAGATTGCACGTGGATTAGATTAGAAGATGTAACGTTTATGTCTAAAATTAAAACACTCGAAAATTCATATAATTTAAAATTTAATTAAAAATTTTAAAAAATTCAAATGCTAAAAGAAAATGAAATTAAAATTTAATGTCAATTATTTTTTAAATTAATCAATATATCGTTAAAATTGATATTTAAATATTATCAATTTAAAAAAATTTATGCAAGTTAAATTTATGCGGATAATATCTTTTTGTGTCATGTAAGTAAAAATTAAAAAAAAAAAACCCAGTGACGAAACTGATTCATAACCGGGGACGGAGCAGAACTAAAAGCATTTTCGAGCATAGGTTAGGACTTTGCTAGTTACAAGACTGATTTTTTTTTCTTGTCATGCTCTTTAATTTCATGTTAAACGAAAACCCAGAACTTCAATCCTCTCATTATAGTTTTGCCGCTTTTATGATTTCTTGTTTAAGTTATTCATCCTTTACAAATTTGAATTGAGAAGAAAATTGCATGATAACCAGGCTGTTGCTGCGGGTTTTCTTTCTTTATTTATTTATTTTTCTTGTTCTGACTTCATTTTTGCTATGTGATTGTTTAAAATTGCCAGTAATTTGTTGAGATAAGAGCATTATATGTGAATGGTAAATGCAATTGCTTTTTTTAGAGTCTTTGTTTAATAGTTTATGATAGTGAGGATTTGCTTGACTGAACAAGCATGCAAGGAATTGGTTTGAATTTTTACACACTTCACCTGAAAGTTCATAGGTTTTTTTTTCCCTGTTTTTCTTTCATTTTTATTGTAAAAAATATGATTTTCTCGTTAGCCACATTATCAATTTCCATCCAAATCCGGCTTAAGTGAAAAAAAAAAAAAAGGCTTGAAGGCTTATTGTACCCAATAAAAGGGGAGGGGCTTAGATCAACATTTTGTTAAGTGATTGAAGGCTTATTTTATGATGATGTCGTATGGCCTAGTATTTAATTATCAATATTTTATGAGCCAATAATGAAGTGAACTTCTTGGTAGTTTTTGACTAGTCACCTATCATATCGGAACCGCTCTATTAACACCTTTCAGCCTTTCTTCTCCTTATAATTCTTGCTTAAGATCTGCCTCTTTCTTTGCTACATGCATAGGTGTTGTTAAATTTGTTGTATTTGGTGTAGTGTTTCCTTATCTAATTTGAGTATTATTGTGAAAGATCTTTTGGTAGAATCCATCCATCATGGAGTCTGGCTTTCCAAGTACATTTTCTACTTTGCTTGGTCAACTCCCTAAAGAAACATGGTGGGATGTTGATCTTTACAACTGGGAAGGCTTCTGGTATAGGAGTTCTCACCTTTCTGCTGCTATCGCTGCAAGGTCAAACTTCCAAGCGAACGATGACGATGTGTTTCTGACTTCTTCGATGAAGACAGGCACCACATGGCTCAAGGCTATCATCCCAACAATCATGAATCCCAAGGGTCGCACAAATGATGATACTGATGATCCTTTGCTCAAACATCATCCTAATGAGCTGATGCCCTCCCTGGAAATTCAGCTTTTCAAGGAAAGTCCAAATCCTGCTCTCTCAGGTATGCCTTCTCCAAGACTATTTCGAAGCCATGTCCCTTACCCTATGTTACCAGAATCTGTTAAAAACTCTTCTTGCAAGATTGTGTATATTAGCCGAGATCCTAAGGACACGTTTGTGTCATTGTGGCACTTTAAGAACTCTTCGACTACCGCTATGGGAAAAAGTCCATGGCCAATGGATGAAGCATTTGAGAGCTTTTGCAGAGGGGTTCATGCCTTTGGGCCATTCCATGATCATGTTTTAAGTTATTGGAAAGAGAGTTTAAAGAGGCCTCAGAAGATACTTTTCTTGAGATTTGAAGACATGAAGAAAGATTCAAAGGGGCAATTGAGGAAGCTGGCTTCTTTCCTTGGAAGGCCTTTTGCCAAGGAGGAAGAGGTAGACAAAGTGTTGTGGAGATGCAGCCTGGAAAGGCTTAAAAACCTGGAGGTGAACCAATATGGAGTCGACCCTTGGGTAAACATTGACTATAAGTTTTATTTCAGGCGTGGCATTGTTGGGGATTGGGAAAACAACATCACTAATGAGATGAAAGAAAGGTTAGACAAAGTTACAGCAATGAAATTCGGGGGTTCTGGTCTGGATATTGGACAATAATTAAGATTGTAGTTGAATTGAACCTATATTTACTAGGTTCTTTATGAACCTCTAGATGTCATTTGCTTTATGTATTTGTCCAATTAATGGGTTGGCCTCATATATAAGAACTGCAAGTTTAACAGGTTGTTAAACTTCCCATTACAAGTCTTGTGTGAGCGACTGAGAGCTTTTCCCCTTGAATAAGCATTTCTCTTCTCAATGAAGAATAACATTTCTAGAAAAAAAAAACTCTCTTCCTTTTAAGTTTGAGATCAAATTCTGTCTTAGTTTCAGAATAACTAAACGTTATATATATTGTAAAACCTAGGATTAACTGTAATTTCTTATAGTCATTGTAACATTGATTTTATATAATTGCAGAGTCAAGGTTTCATGATAACTCTCACGGACTCAGCCCATGAGATCTAAACCCATAATTTTATGTCCATCATTGAAACTAATCTCCATGCGCATGCTTTAGTACCTATTTTTAATGGCCCTAACCTATGTATCAATGGTCCAAAAAAAAAATCTTTCTTTCATAGTTGTATCAAAATGTAGGTGAGCTTTGGGCGTCACAATTTTAGCATTTTAATTACTTTTTTGTGATATTCATTGAGCATACTTTTATATATTTTCCTAAATTTAGTTGCTTAATAAAAAATTCTGAAGTCCTATCGAATTTATGCCTCTTAGTCTTGCCTGCGGATCCTTATATGTTTCAAATGTATTTATTTATTTTGTTTTCAATTCTGAGCTTTCTTTTTGGTTTCATAGATCAGTAAAAGTATAGTATTTGAGTTCAGAAATGTGAATTTTGGTGGTTTGTTTGGGTTGTTACGTTAAAAGGGATGATATTAAGGCTGTGTCGTGTAAGGAGGAAAAAAAGGTGAGAAGGGAAAAAAATTTGCTTTCTTTGTTGGTAGAAGAGACTGAAAATGATTCCTCGAAAGGTTAAAAAAGAGATTGAAAATGAAAGAAAGAAAACAATTGGGGATAAAATCGTACATAAAATGATTAATTTAAGCTGAATGTGCATTTTCATTCCTTGCTTGTGGATGAATTGGAGTTTTGGGGAATGGAAAGGTGTGAATCTAGTAATTTTTTCCTCCCTCGTATTTCCTTTCTAGCAAATGAGCGAAAATGGGGTTTCATTGATATAAATATTTTTGTATTTGGTGCATAATTTCTCCTAGAATATGGTGAGATGAAAAAATTCATTTCTCAAGTTAGCACCTTAGATCAGTTCCTGTAAGCAGCTGCTAATAGAATCCTTCAAATTTTCTATGATGGGGGTAGTTGGTTACTGCAGTGCTGGATAGAATTTGAAGTTACTTTAAGGAAATGGTTGAATTGATATGGTGTTGGAGTCATACTTGTGGCTTTTCATTTTCTTTTCAGTGGATAAGAAGTGGAACCTTTATTGCTGAAGATCCCTGATGTTGCTAAGGGAATGCCTTGACTAAAAAGTGCAAAGTGTTTTCTGACAAATCCAATATACATGATGGGGTTGGAAATAAAACAACTGATGATGGATATGGAGGTTCTGGCTCATATGGTTGGTTCAAATCTGCATTGTTGGATGAGGTGATTACATAAACTTCTCCTCCTCATTGCCTTCTCTCCATCCCTGACTCTTTTCCTGCTTTCTTTCTGCTTAGTACACACCACAGATGAACTTGTTTTGTAGAGCCATAATTAGTGTTCCTTTCAGTTAGACAACTAAAAAGGAACTTTGATGGATGATGTAGCATTTTTAGATATTGATGATTATTTCATTTTCATGAATCCATAGTTAGATGGTCATTATATTAAATCTATTGATACAGTACTTGTAAAATACTAGGACACCAAAAAAAGTGAGTTCAAAGATGCGAGAATGACTAAGAAAGACCTGGTTTTTGTACCCAGGTAGCAGGTACTCCAACACTAGAAAATAACATATAGGCTTTAATTCCTGGTCATTGTTTCTATATATTTTTTGGAGTTAACCCATGAAGCCATATTTTAAAATGATGTTTCTGCATAGAATTTTAAAATAAGAAATAGGCCACTTAAGTGGCTGTGGTGGTTGGGGATTCAAGGAGAATGCCCTTTTTCTCTGGATAGATGATTATAAGCCCAGATTTTCACACTTAATGTTCTCTTGTATCCAGGAAAAAGAATGAAATGAGGGATTAACAGGTACTAGTATTCCTCGGAGTGCATAAAAGAAGAATGTAATAGAGTATTACATGTATGTATTTGTCGAGAATTTGATGGGAAAAAGGGCAATGGGATGGAGGTTTGGAAAGGATTCATGGAGCAAACACAATGATGACATGCCAACGTGCTCATTCATACACCGTCATACATAAATATGTATTATTATGTGATGCCTGTCATCAAGAGTTTGTGACATTTTTTTTGTTTGATTTATGGCACAACAAATTTTTTTAAGAGATGTTCAACAAATGTCAAATTGGTGTTGGTGCTATCCAAACAAGGCTTTTCCTTGTGAAGCACCTTTATCCTCTGTTTACTGAAAACTGTCTATACTCTGCAGTCTGCGCTGCCAAGGGACGCCAAAAGTAGATCATTATCTCCCATTAATGAGCTTATAGTAATGAACTCCCTGTCACTTCTACTTTACATTTCATTCATTTTTATTACTAGCTGCTTAGTCTTGCTGGCACTAACTACTTAGCATTCTTATGGTGCTTTATAGTTGATCTTGCTAAACTGGTTGTGCTCTTTTTTTGACCTTTTAATAGTCCTCATCAGCTTCAGTTTGCATCGAGTGCCTTTCTCAAGAACCAAAGGATCTTTTCAGCTGTCATTTTTGCGAGGTATGAAATATCCATTGATACTCTCTTGATCCTTCTTTATTACCGTAAACCTGCATTCATTGCAAGGATATTGAGAAGCTCAACCCTTATTCCTTTTAATATACATATCTCGATGTAGTTTGTCTAGAACATGTTATCTAAGACCGGCATTTTTTAACCTTGAATTGTCTATAACATGATGTTGTACGTTCTGTATTCAACTCTCCTTGGTGATATGCTAGCTGTTTTTGGAATGAAAGGTTCTTTTACACATTGAACGTTGTTCATATACGATTATTAAATTATTAATGGTATTTATTATGCTAATGAAATTTCAATGAAAATAAAATTAAAACTTCATTGAATTTGTAGTAATTATATAATATTACAACACCCAAAAAAATAAGTTTAGCATTTCAGTGGGAGCAATTGCCTGCGATGCCCCATTGTAAATCCATCCCTGCAGTTAAAACCAAGGCTGGGTTTAATGCTTTCATCGTCATCATCAGGCAGCTGAGATGCTTGTGCTTTCAAATCCTTGATATCAAAATTCCAGGCACTACTTCCTCTTTGGTACTCACTCTGTGATTCAGCTTCTTCTGGTGAAGGCATTTTCTTTAAATGTAGTGCAGAATCATTATTCTGAAGGGCTTTCAGAGGATTCAATGGTGGTCGCAGATCAGCTAGTATCTTCTTCAAAGAAATCTCAGGAGGCTTTGCATGCTGGAAAAACAAGTGCTTCAACAATTTCTCTGCAGTTGGCCTCTTCCGTAGGTCTGTCACCAGGCACATGGCAACCATGTCTTTAAAAGACTTGGAGAACTTCTTATCACAATCATAATCAAGTCGTGGAGGAGCATTTTGTACCGTCATCAGGAGAACCTTCATTGGTGGATATTTGGACAAAGGTGCATGACCGTGAGCCAATTCCAACGCTGTTATCCCAAATGACCATATTTCAGCCTTGGAGCCATACCCAGTTCCTTGCTGCAAGACTTCGGTGCCATCCAGCAAGGAGTCCCACTAAAAGTATTTAGACAATGTTGTCTATCTCCTGAATCAAACATGGAAGCCGAAACACCAAAGTCGGAAAGTTTTACTGTGCCGTTGTCATCAGGCAATGTGTTACCAGCCTTGACATTCCGGTGGATGTGCCCTTGTCGGTGCAGATACTCCAAAGCCTTGAGGGTTTCTTTCAGAAAATAACAGATAGCGGATTCTTGGAATCCATTAGGACAAACTTCTTTCATGCAGTGCAAACAGGATCCTTTTGACAAGAACGGCATGACTACCCAGAGATTGCTAGCAACTACAAACGAAGAATATGCTCGAACAAGATTTGAGTGATCCACCCAAATCATCGTTTGAGTTTCACAGCGTATATCATCCATAGTGCTAAAGCGATCGATATCTAGACACTTGATAGCTACGATTTTGTTTAAAGAAGGTAGATAGCTCTGTAGACAGTAGCAGTTGCACCGTGGCCAATTTCTTCTAATATCATGTAATCATTAGGATTCGTTTCCATTCTCCCCTTTACGGACGAACATGTTCTGAATTTAGATATCAATTTCATTGCCTTGCTTTTGTGCTCTCCTTTCCGTGCCATAAAAAAAAAAAAAAGTGAATTCAAAGACGCAAAAATGACAGAGAATCTGTCTGTATGATTCCCGGTTATTTCCAGTCTCGTTTGAATTGCTAGAACCTTAGCCTGCGGAGCACTTGTTCAGAGGGAAAGGCTGTAGAGAAGCTAGCTCTGGCGGTGAAGCCAAGTATTCTAAATAAGAATCCAAAGGCCTTATGATTACTTAAAGGCAAATGAGAATCCTAAGCCATTTGGGAAATAGACTAGCTATTTATATTCTCTTCCACCAAGTAAACGAAGCCGCAAGTTCCAGGAAGGTGACACAGACGAAATCATTTTTTATTTTAAAAATATATTATTTTAGTGTTTTGTTTAATAATATTAATATTATTTAAAAATTTGAGTGTGAATGCTTTCAATTAAAATAATAATTGACTGAAGAAATCATATTCTTTCTTTTTCTTTTTTCTTTTTAAATCGTTATCATTATATTCTACTCTTTATTATTAATTGTTCCATTCATCCAATAAGTTAAACAATTTTTTAATTTAAATTCATCTAACAAATTAAATAATTTTTTAATTTTAATTTACTATTAAAATACAAATAATAATAAATTGAAAATTATATCTCAGAATATTAAAAATTTAACATATATCACCTATTACTTTTTCTAAAAATTCCTTGTAAAAGAATTAGGCAGTCCTACGAGCACGTCTTTAAAAGAAAAGAGGTCAATAATAATAAGAAACAAAAAATGGGTAACAGTTAAATTTATTCTGGCTCATCATCTTCCCTGCTTCTGCAATGGTAATTGATTAATCGTCCAAAAATCACAAAAAAAAATTTTTTTTGGTTAGTTTTGGTTTAAAAATAAATAAAAAAAAGCAGTAAAATTTAACCAAATAAAAATTCCATTACAAAATTCAAACTTCATTTATGCGTAACAAAAAATTAAATTTCTTAGACATACTTAATTATGTTTTTTTCAACAAAAATTATATGTTATAATTAATAATGGTAATTTATAACTAAATTTTCTATTAGAATCAAATATTAAATATAGTAAATAAAGAACATAAGCACAATAAGAAATCAAGATGGCTATGAGGCATGTAGCTGGTTTCATTTTGTCTTTTTCTAAGTAAGGTTGCTTTTTTTTTTTTAATGTTGTGTTTCATGCTAACCATTTTTTAAAATTCCAAATACACAAACATAATAGAAAATTAGAGTGACTGATCCTTTAAATTTGCAGAGGTTGCAAAACAAAAGGGTGAAATTCGATGCAAAGGTAAGATTATTAATTGTTATTACAACACAAGGTGGCATGTGAATGAAACAACATTGATTCCAATAACCACAGGCAAAATGGAAATGCCACTATATATAATAACTAATTTCTTCTGTTCTTCTTTGATCTTTTTCCATTTTGAAGCCGTTTGCCTTCAACCAAATTCACAATCCATTTTGGTTTTCCAGTTTGAAAGACAAGACATCCACAAGCCAGTCCAAATATCAATCCACAGCCATACCCCATCGCCACAACTTTCCATCCAAATTCAATACCTGAGCCTTCCCTTGGCATGGTTGGCTTTTGCATCTCAGTTTCATTGCAAGCTTTTGACAATGGAAAACCACATAACCCCAAGTTTCCTTCATATGAACTGTTTTCAAATGTGTTGAATTGTTTGCCCTGAGGTATTGGTCCGACGAGTTGATTCCTGGAAAGGTTTAAAAGGGCAAGAAATGTCAAATCTACCAATTCCTCTGGTATCTCACCAATAAGCTTGTTAGATGATAGATCTAACCATTCTAGATTGGTTAAGTTTCCCAATGATGGTGGAATATGACCAAAGAAGTTGTTATGAGAAAGATTCAGCCCTCTAAGTGAATTAAGCTTTCCTATAACTTCTGGAATCACTCCCTGAAAGTAGTTTTTGGAGAGATCAATGCTTGTGAATGTGGTTAAAACTTTCTCCAATTCAACATGTTGTCCTTTTATTGTCAAAACTACTGAATAATCATACGAGCGGCTTCCTTGCATGTACTGTGAAGAACTTTTGCTGTCAGCTGTGAGATTTGCCATAGCTTTTAGATTTTCAATGTACCAAGCTGGGAAAAGACCAACAAAATCATTGTTCGAGAGGTCTAAGACTCGTAGCTTGGGGAAAGGTAGTCTTGCTCCGGAATTGTTTACAAAACCATGGAATTTGTTTGAACTCAAAACGAGAACTTGTAGCATTGGAAGAGTTTCCAACCAATTGGGAAATGTATCACTCAACTTGTTGCTGCCAAGGTCTAGAACCTGAAGGTTCCTGCAATTGGCCAAAGATCTTGGTAATGGCCCTTCCATTTGGTTTCCATGGAAGTTGAGATTCTCTAAGCTACAGGGCTCGACAAATGTTGTGGGGATTGTTCCGTGGAAACCATTTGCCCTCAGATCCAACACTGAAAGAGTGTTGCTAAAGTTGAAAAGACAACTAGGAATCTTGCCGCTCAAGTTGTTATGTGATGCGTCAATAATTCTCAGGGAACTGATGTTGCAAATAGAAGAAGAAATCTCTCCTGTCATGTAATTGTTTGCGATGGAAAAGAAAGATGTCTGAACGGGTGGAATTGGAAGCACTCCTTGAAACCGGTTGGACTGCAGGTAGAGAGTTAGCGCATTCTTCCATGGGAATTGCACAGGACCTGTTAGAGAATTATGGTCAAGGTATAAATGTAACAAAGATTCCTTCCCAACTTTCCACATCCATTGGGGAATCGGGCCTCGAATTATGTTTTTGGAAAGGTCTAAGATCGTTAGAACCTTTGAACCTCTCAAGAAATTGGGGAACTCAGTCAAGTTACAAGACGACAAGGACAAGAAGTGGAGTTTGTTCAATGCAAAGTTGACACCATTTTTTGTGCTCAATGACAGACTATTATGCGAAAGATCAAGAAATTCAAGATTTTGGAGCTCTGAAAACATGTCTAACTCTACACTGTCACTAAAGTTATTTAACGACAGATCAAGCACGGTGAGGTTTACAAGTTGAAAAATTGATCTTGGAATATGACCCTGCAGCATATTATTTTTGAAATAGATAATGGACAATGATTTAGACTGGAATTCGCTAATATGACCAATGAATCTATTGTTTGCAAGAGACAATAACTTTAACGAAGGCAAATTAAACACCCAAGGTGGTATAGTTCCATTAAGTAAGTTAGAAGGTAACAATAAACATACTAATTTTGAAAGACCATTTGCAAAAGGAGGAATGGTACCTTCTAATCCATTATATGACAAGTCTAAATGTTGAAGCTCTGTGAGGTTTGCAAATGACGCTGGGATCCATCCACTAAAATTATTATCCGGAAGCTCTAGGACAACAAGTTGTGAAAGGTTTGCTAGTGATGTAGGAATTGATCCATTCAAGTCGCAACTAGCAAGATTTAAAGATTTCAATGACTTCAAACCTCTGATTGAACCAGACAAGTCTCCGACGAGAACAGTCTGTTTCAGATCTAAGATTTCAAGGGTACTAGTCCCATTGGACTTTGGGAGATAAACCACTAGTTCAGGGTTCTTACCTAATTTGAGCAACTTAAGATTTGGAAACCGAAAAATTCTGTCCGAAATTGTCCCATTTAGTCCACAATCAACTAGACTAAGAGAAGTCAAAGAGGAAGAAAGATTCATTAAGTAACCATGGTCAACTGAACACATGTCTATTCCATCAAGGAAAAGTTCTTTTACCCGGCTAAAGTTCAGAGCTAACCTTTTCAGAGTTGTTGTTTCAAGCTTCAGTTCATTAAACGGTTCTTGGTCACTGGGAAAAGGTAGACTGAACCTAGACAGATCAAGTGAAACTAGCTTGGAAAGATGTGAGATTTCAGATGGAACTTGGCCTGAAGAAAATGAATTAGAGAGGTTCAGATGTGTTAAATTTGGAAACTGACCAAACTTGGCTGAAATGTTGGATTGCCTAAAATTGTTAAATGCAAGATTGAGCCTCTTCAAGTGTTGAAGGAAGAAAAGACTGCTGTTGGAAGGAATGGTACCACAAAGCCAACTGCAACTAAGATCTAGGCCAATTACACGACCAGTATCGCTGTCGCAAGTGACTCCTTCCCATGAGCAACAATCTGTATCTTCCTTCCATGAATCTGTCTTGAGAAAAGCTGCAATGCCATAATTTGGATTGCAAAGAAATGAAGCATTGCAATCAAAAAAGAGGGTCTGCTTGAATTGAAGCAAAGCCTGACTCTCATTGTGAGAACATGTTGGCCTTTCGATTAAAGAATTAGTGAAAGAGGATGATATGAAAGCCTGAGAATATAAGTAAAACAAGAGCAACGAAAAGAATTGATAATTCCCAAGAAAAAACCTCAGTTTCCCCATGTCAAAGTTCATATAAAAACTTGATTTGGTTGATAAGAGTGATGGGGAAAAAGCATACAAGCATTTATAGGGTAACAAAAAGTTTTTATGAATTGTTTTCTCCAATCATATTTTTCCAACAAAAAGTGACAAATGAACTAACGCACGCACAAGAGAGTAACAACTTATTCTATATTGCTTCAATGGGGAAGACTCAAATGAGAAATGATGACAGGTTAAGAATTCCGAGATATCGGCGTTCCAAGATACCGGCAGAGTCATACCAGTTAGATTAAAATTTCTATTTTATTTTATTATTTTATTGGTTTTTTATTTTTTATGATTTTATTGACCCAAAAAAAGTTTGGCCAAAAGGAGAGAATTGGATTGAATAAAATTCTTGGAATTAAAAGTCTTGTTAGACTTTGGGTTGGATTAAAAATTTTAATCAAATGTATAACGTATCTGGCTTGAATTTTAAGAAAAATCCGAATGTATTTAAAATTAAACTTTAAAATCAAAATCTTTGTGAAAATAAATCAGAAGTAATTCTTGTTCTATTTGGTTTAGGATTAGATCCCTATTTTAAAAACTTACACAAGCACGTAAGGGAATAACAATTAAGAATCGACGCAATAAGCAGAAAAAAAAAAAAAAGCAAGAGAAGGGAAAATTGGTAGGTGGATAATAGAATAAGAGAGTAGCTAATAAAAATTTATTAGTGGTGCTAACTGTTTCAAATCTTCCTTTACTAATTCAATTCACGTGTCATTGAGTAATTTTATCTCTTTTTTTTTTTAAATAAAGGTGCTTTAAAGAAAAGCAAACTATTATTTTCCATTTGAATGGGGATAGCAGTAAGCTTTTCAATAATGTCACAAGGAATACGAGCACTAGCACATGAAAAATCCTAGCACCCTCCAGAGGAGACAAAGTCCTTGACCACCAAGTTTTCATCATAGGAGCGCCAAGGGCCAGAGACTTTTTTATTAATTAAGAAGACCCAGGCTAGCCCAGTCATCCTACTAGAACAAGGCTTTGGTTCCCCATTTGACAATCCATCGGATACCTCGCTCAAGGATAGGTGTGCTTGTGCTCATATCTGCCCAAATGGGCGGGCAAGCCTTCTTAATGAACTCACCAATTATTGTGTATTTTGCGTTAAGAACCATAGTCCAAAAAATCTCAGGTTCAGTGAGGAAACGCCACCCTAGTTTGGCCATATTACCATCATTAAGCTTTCTTATATCCTTAAGGCCAAGGCCTCCAACTTCTTTTGATAAGGTAGCAGTGTCCCAATTAACCTTATGCATTTTTTTTTTTTTGTGGTTATCTGTGGAGCCCCAGAGAAAGTTTCTACTAACTTTGTTGATCTCCTCACAGACACTGGCAGGAAGATTCGATGACTCGATGAATGATAAATTATATTACTTTTAGGGTTGTAATATATATATATATATATAAATACGTGTATAAATGAGTTTAAAGTCTACGAGATATATCCAAAAATAAAGCCCAATCTTATAAGTCAACTAAACATAATATGCATTTTAACAGTCCCCTCAAATTGAAGATGGTTCAAAATGAAACATCTGAAGTTTGGAAACTAAATAACAAAAATGTGAACTTGAAAAAGACTTTGTAAAAAGATCTGCCACTTATAATTCAAAATAAATATGAAGTAGCATGATGGTGCCTTTGCGTATCTCCTATTTGATAAAATGACAATCTATTTCAATATGTTTCATCCGTTCATGAAAAATATCATTGTGAGCAATTTGAATTACACTTTTACTGTCACAAAAGAGTAGAATAGGAGTAGGTGTATCAACAGCTAAATTCATAAGTAACCGAAGCAACCACATAATTTCTGCTGTAGTGTCTGATAAAGCTCTATACTCTATTTCAACACTTGAATGCGCCACAACTATCTACATTTTGCTTTTTCAAGATATCAAAGAATTACCCAAAAACACACAATAACAAGTTGTAGAATGTCAATCATTAAAATCATTAGCCCAATCAAAATAAAAAAAAGCATGAAGTTCAAGTTTAAAAGTTGATGAGAACAACAAACCTTTATGTAGCATTTCTCGTAAATATCTCAATATCTTAAGAACTACAGCAAAGTGATTTGTCTAAGGTGTTGTCATAAATCGGCTTACAACTTGAACTGTATGACTAATATTAGGTTTTGTAATTATCAAATATATAAGACTACCAACCAACTATTTATACAAAGTAGCATCATTGTGACGTTCTCCATCAGTAGCTTTCATTTTAACATTAGTTTCAAGAGGAGTATCATCAATTTTATTATTAGATAAGCTAGCTTTAGAAATAAGATCAAAAACATATTTCATTTGAGACAAGACATATCCATATGAGGAACAATCAACTTCAATTCCCAAAAATTATCGTAATGGACCAAGATCCTTCATCTCAAACGTTTTGCTAAGACGATTTTTTATATTATGAATGCCAAGATTATCATCTCAAATTATCATCATATCATCAATATAGAGAAGCAAAAATACAATACCTCTTTCAGATCGACGAATAAATAATATTGAATCATAAAGACTTTGCACAAATTTGAAGTCCAGCATAGTAATGCTGAATTTCTCAAACCAAGCACGCGATGCTTGTTTCAGACTATATAAAGCTCGTCGAAGCTTTCACACTTGATTAGTTTGATAAAACAATATAGGAGGAGGTTTCATATAAAATTCTTCATGAAAAATCTCCATTCAAGAAAGTATTTTTTACATCTATTTGTGATAAAGCCCATTTCGAATAGAAGCAATAGCTATAAGAGTTCGAATAGAAGTCATTTGAGCTATATGAGCAAAAGTTTTTTCATAGTTAATATGATACTTCTGTGTAAATCCTTTTGCAATGAACTTGGCTTTATATCTCTTGATAGACCCATCTAATTTAGTCTTTATCTTGTACATCTACTTGCAATCCACTACAAATTTTCCAATAGATAATTCAACAAGATCTCAAGTATGAGTTTTCTCTAAGGCATCTAATTCTTCTTTCATAGCTATTTGCCAAAGAGGATAGAACTTGCTTCATAATAAGACTTAGGTTCGTAAACAGAAAGAATGGTAGATAAGAAACAATGAAAATCATGATAACATTTTGAAAGAATTCACTCATGTGTTGAATGTCTAAGTTTTAGGACAGACAGCTCTGATGAATTGGACAATGGTAGTGCATGATCACTTATGGTAGAGTCAGTGATGGGACAAGCTTCATTTTGATGAATCTGTTGAGAAATTGAAGAACTTTGAGACACGTGAGAATATTGATTAGAGTCATTTAAATCAATAAAAAGATAAAAAATGATAAAAGACTCATAAGGATCATTGGTAGATTTTTGAAAACGAGGCAATGAATACATCAAAATATTTTTTCCAAAAAGTAACATGACAAGAAACATGAAGTTTTTACGGAATAAGGTCATAGCAATGGTATCCTTTTTGTCCAATACCATACCTTAAAAATACACAAATGGTAGTTTTTTTATATAATTTATCACAATGAACTTTAGAAAGTGAAACAAAACATGTAGAACCAAAAATACGAAGCTTAGAATAATTAGGAGTATTGTTATAAAAATGTTCAAAAAGAGAATTCCACCAATAATAGAAGAAGGAATACGATTAATAACATAAACTGAAGTAAGTGCAGTTTCCTCTCAAAATTTTTTAGGAACCAATGAAGATAACAACAAGGCTCTAGTGGTTTTCATGATATGACGATGCTTTCTTTCAGCAACACCATTCTACTATAGTGTATCAGTACAAGATTATTCAATACTTTGAGAAGCAAAAAACTCTTTTAAATTACTTGATTGATATTCCCCAACAAATCAACATGAAAATATTTAATAGTTTTAGAAAATTATGTTTTGATCATGGCAGAAAAATCTTGATAAATTTTTAGTAAATTCGAACGATGCCGAAATAAATAAATCCAAGTGTACCTCGAATAATCATCAATAAAAATAACATAATAACAAGAACACCCCATAATAGGTAAATAAGATGGGCCCTACATATCAGAATGAACAAGATCAAAAGAAGATAAAGAAACTAATTCACTTTTATTGAAATGTAAAATATATTATTTTGCTAAAGAAACTAATTCACTTTGATTGCAAGGTAAAGTAGATTGTTTTGATAGTTTGCAATGATACAATTATTAAGCATTTCTAACTTAACATAATTGAACTTGCCACTAGATAGCAAATATTGAAGTCTAGAACAAGCAACATGTCCTAAACTATGATGCAAAAGGGAAAAAGAAAAAAGCTTTTGAACGTCAGAAACTAATAAGGATTTTCACATAAAAGGATGATCAAATTGACTAAAAAGACAAGGTGACACAAGTTTTCCAAACCAAATAATCTTCCAATTTTACGGCCTATCCCAACCACTTTCTCCGTTAAGTAATCCTGTACCACACAACCACAAGAGCAAAAAATGACATTAAGACCTTGATCACATAATTGACCAATAGATAGCAAATTCATACAAAATGATGAAACCAAAACAACATAATCAAAAGAAACATTTTGAGAACATGAGACAGAGCCAATAAGAGTAACAGACATATTTGAACCATTAGCAGTATGAATAAAAGGTGAACAAGTAATAGGACTTAAAAAGTCAAAGATAAAATTATCAAAAGTCATATGATTAAAAACTCCAGAATCAATGATCCAATCCTTAGAATTAATACCTGGAGTAATTGATAGTGCAAATGTAGAAGAATTATTACCCATAGAGTTGTTACTCATACTAAAAATAATTTGTCGAATAATCTTTTAAATTTGATCTGCAGTGGAGAGAGAGTTAACATTAAAAGTTTCTGTAGATGACATCGCAGCAGCAATTCACCCTATTTTACGTAAGCTAAATTTCTTTTTCAATTCCAAGCAATTATGCTTTTTATATCCCAATTCGTGATAGTAGTAACATTCAATCTTAGAAAAATCCTTTCGTTGAGATAAGCTA